AAATTTGTGAGCACTACAAAAAACTACAAACGATTTTAGACACGAATCCGAGCTCATTCTGGCTATAGCTTTCAATCAGTTCCTACTTGGTCTCCAAAAATCGATTGGACGCTCATTTGATTTCCGATCGCGGAAATTCCAAAACTACAATCAACTACAAACGATTGCAGATAAGAATCCCACGTCATTTCAAATACAACTATGAAATAGTTCCTAACTGTTAAAAAAAATCGATTGAACGTTTATTACGATTCCGATCGTGAAATTTTCAGAACTACAATCAACTACAAACTATTGCAGACGAGAATCCAATGTCACTCCAGCTCTAACTATGGAATAGTTCCTAACTGTATTTCAAAAACGAATTGGACGCTCAATTTCAAACTACAAACAAGAAAAACGTTACTACTATCACCAGTAGCTCAAAATCTATCAATTATAAAATTTTGGTTCAAATCCAACCAAGTGGGGTGCCCACTTCACGGAGCTGATAGCGAGCTTATAAAACTTTCCCTATGAAATAGATCAAATTATCAATGCAATGCCACTCGATTTTTTCAAGTTACTTTTCATATTTTTCTGCAACTGATAAATACTACCGAACTGCATTCAATATCAGACACATATTCAAACCTCTCGTTTACCGAGATAATTTTTATAAAAAATTCTGGCATCTTTACCGAACATACACTATACATTCCTCTTTCGAATGGTGCAAACGGAATTTCCATTCAATAAATTACTGATTTGTTATTAACAAATTTCCGGCAATCACCAATCTTGGCAACCGTTTGTACTATCGAACTGAGATTGGTCTTAAAAATTCCAGAAAAATCTGTATGAAGGAATACCGTAATTGAACAATTTTTTTAATAAAAACTGAAGACTACCGACGTCGGTGGCCGAAGCGGCTAGGTGCGAGCCTAGTGTGCGAAAGGTTGTGAGTTCGATTCCCCGTGGAACCGAGTTTTTCAACCGGAGGCTCCGGCGAGCGGGAGGTCGCTAATATAGTGACCGCCTGTACCGGCATGGGTTTTCTGTGGTTTCCCATGCTACTCCTATGTTCTATAAGAATGCGAATGCGGTGCAGTGTAGAATCCACAGCCGCATGCATAGGCTTGGATAGGGCCGATTAGAAAATCAGAGGGCAGAAAAGGCCGGAATATAAAAAAAAAGAAACTGAAGACTATCATTAAATTTTAGTTAATAATTTTCTGACCATCAGTATAGAAGTTATTGCGTATTAAACAATGAATTCGAGTGGACAGGACGCCGCCGGCCGATGAAGACACACCACGCGATTGGACGCCGTACTTGAGGGGTTGAATCATTTTGTCATCTTATAATTTGATTTTTTTTTATCTATTCCAGCTTACAATGGCAACGATGAAACATTTTTCAACCTCTTCGATGACACTCTGCTACAGGACCTCTACCGAATGACAAAACGAAGTCCTACAAAGTGTCGACGAAAAATGATCTCAGTCCTCACAGAGATGCTTCGTCAAGAAATGATCGACGATGTCGACGAGGATCCTCGCAGGAAGCCTTTAAATTCCTACCTTTACTCTCGGAAAGGTCCAATCCTCAAAGTCTCCCCCGCCCTAATCTCCCTAGCCCATCGAATCCTAACCCTCTACTACCCCGACCACAATCCCCACGACGACTTCTCCGACGTATTCGTGATACTCACTCGAGCCTTCGACCAACGTAATCCCACAAGATACCCCGCATACTCCATAAGCCACTTCCCTCTCTTCAGGAACCGTCAGTCCTTGATAGATTATGTGGAAGCAAAACTCATAGCAACAACGGTCCTTAAAATGATCGAAGGCAGACCAGACGGTCACATTGAAAGAATCTACGAGTATGGGGATCTAATCCATAGAAAATTACAAAAATTAATTATCGCAAACGCCGACGAAGAGGCTGAACGCAAAAAGAATCACCGAAGATCCGGCGTCCCGAGTTATCCAGCAATTCCTTTCCACATACAACAGTTTTTACCTGCTCACCTGTTATCAAAAATCCTAATCTCAATCATGAAATTTCTAAGAGCACAAAAAACCCAGCGGAGCCTGGCCACAGTTAGACAATACCGGGCATTTCTCCTCGAGAATCACGCCAATATTCCGGTTGATTGTTTCGCTCTGTACAACGAAGCCATCGCAATTGAGAAGGACCGAGCAAAGGCCCCTCAACGCGCAGCAGCATTCATCTTGGACGCTTTATCATATCTTGAGAATCATCGACTTTTCAAAAATTCTCGACTCCACTTTTCAGAAATTCGCAATCTAGTGAACAAGATTCCACTGGAAAAACTTGTTCCCCTCACGAGAAAGTCCTTCGTGAAAATTCTTGCAAAGAATAGAGATTTCCCCATTCCTGCCAGAAACCTAGACCCTATCGATCTAGAGCCGGTTGGTGAAGGGAACAGTCGTTCCTGGAGGTTGAAGGATGAAGATGACGTACATGCGTACGAGAGACTCAAGGAGATTGCATTGCATAATTACATCGCACGTGGATTTCCCAAGGTTCTTCAATGTTGTGAGTCACTTCCGGTGACGATTTTCGCATGTCTTTTTTGGAAGGAATTATTTGGATCACAACATGACGTGCCCGGAGCGTTTGTTTCGAAATTCCAGAAGGGACCACTGGATTTGTTCAACGCTAGCTTCTATGAAAATCGGGAATTAATTTTCGCTAAGAGATTGAAGGAGTTGGAGATGATGAAGGATGATGACATTTGGAATTTGATGGCAAAAGTTTATAGGGATACCTCTTCGGTTGAATCTATTATTAGTCATCATTTCGGAAATCATGATGATTTCAAAGGAATGATCAAGTGTTTGAGGAAAACCGGAGTGTTGGGCATTTGTAAGAAAATGATTAAGAAGGAGTGTATTGAAAGGGGATTTCCGGATATAATTGGGTGGGACGAGAGGAATATGGGGTACAGGATCGTCGTCGTGCGTATACCTCGTGGAAATTTTTCAGCCGCGCAGAATTTGTGGATTGAAGCCTTAATAAATATGAATATGCTTTTGGAGATTCCTGCGTTTAGAATAAAAAAGGGCTAGGAGAGCCTCCGGATTGGAAAGACAAATGATGACCTAAAAGCCTGTGAGCACATTGGTTTCTGTACCATTTCGTCAGAGTGGAAGATGACATTTACTCGAGTTCCATCATCTTCTAGTTGTTGCAAATTCAATTCGCTCATATGCTTTGTCGACACCTTGTAGAATCAATTATAATAATTTTTTTGCCATTCCGGCCGTAAGGCAGCGATTCACGAACACTACGCATCCGTGAATTGCTACCCAAGGCCGTTATGACAAAAAATATTGTTCGTCACACGGCCTAAAAAACCGAGGGGCTAATAACTCCAAGATCGAGCAACACTATGACTGCAGACTGCAGTCGATTTCACTTGACGACATCAGTGATTTCAATGACTCTATTCGACTGAAATCAATGATTTCTACGTAATTGAAATCACTGAAAACTCACTGATCTGAAATTGAAAGAATAATCGAGATCAAATAATTATTTATCAAAACGGTGGATTTTATTATCATAAAACATTTAACGGACGCTTACAAATTATTATTATTTCTAATAAGCGAATGAACAATACTAGAAGTACTTTTTGACTTCTCTCAAAATTTTTTGGTCAATTTTCAAGTGCCCTTCATCATCAAACGTTGAAGGTAAAATTGTTTTTCGATATTGTTTAATATCAACACAGCCGTGAGACGTCATTGGCTGCGACAGTAACGTATCTAAATTTGTCTTTAAAATGTACCAACAACACAAAACACCTATATCTCTTTTGTAACCATCAATACGCGCGTATGAACCAGAAAATTCTCGAACCAAAAATTCTAGAACGAGTGTCGATCATGGTGTATTTTCGGTCGAGGGATTTCCTCGTTATTTCATGGATTTCATTGACTACGAATGATTTCATTATGACTTCAAGAAATGACTCCATGAATGGGAATCACGAGATTTCTATGGTCTCACTTATGTCAACGATTTCAGTGATTTCATGAGTGAGTCCAAATTGATTTCACCAGCAAGTGACACCATGATTTCAGGAGTTACTAGCCCCTCGTAAAAAACTTTTCTAGCTCATATGATTGCAACCTCATTCACCAGAAAATTTTTTTTCGTTCTTATAACGAAATGGACTAATTTGCGATAGGACACTGATAGAAAAGATTGGTTATTGTTAACGAATGGATTTGATTGGGGGCTAGGATCTATTCGGTCACAATTCGGTCTATCAACAAATATTTATTTGGTCATATTCAACTCTATCATTCGCTAATAGTTAACGGAACTTGTTTCGAATAAATTAATCATTCTATCAGTGTAGTGGTTGTGCGAATAATGGCGAGTCCGGCGGTCGTCCAAGCTAAAGTGCTTCTTGCCAAAGGAGTAACCTCAGCCGTATACCCCCACTCTACCTAAATCCCCACTTATGTTCGTGCTGCTCATCACTGAAATCGACTTCACTTCCTTGGCAAAATTTGGTATAAATAGCATTTAATCTGATTAATACTCGGATAAGTGTCTTATTAACCCGATACCCCCGTATAGAACTGCACAGAGAGAAATTTTTTAATAAAAATGCTAGTGTTAGCACGGGAAAAGAGGTGCAAATTGACGACCAGGAAAAAATTCCAGTGCCGGCACTAGAAATTTTATTGGGAAAAACGTGAATATTTTCCCGTATTTTTGTGAAAATTTCACAGAAATCCCCAGAAATTTTACCAGAAATACCAAGAAATTTTACCTTAACAGCACTAGAATTTTTGACAGCCGGTGGATTGTAATTTTTTTCAGTACTCGTACTAGATTTTTTCTAAAAAATTTCTCTCCGTGTGGTGACTACGTATGTATATGGAGACCTACTGTACCCATTTGGTCAGCGTGACAGATGGGCACAATAGGACCTCACATCACGGTCGGCTGTACGACTGAGGTTTTCCATGGTTTCCCTAACAGTCCTAGCCTAAATGGGGCGCAGTCGGGTAAAAGTTGAGACAACCCATGGTAATGCTGATAAGGAGAAAACAATCAAGAGAAGAGTAGGAAAGTCATAACTGGCTGACGATATGCCTATACAAACGTAGCGATAGTAAGAATGAAACATAAATTTTAAGAAAGTTATATTTTGATAAGTTGTATCACATCTGTAAAAGAGGGAAAGGAGTGACTTATTTGCACGGAAAATCTTTGAGTGCTGTTTATTGACATAGTTTTGAATCTTATGTCAATGAAGATGACTCAGACAAATCCATTTTTAGGCCATAAGTACTTTTCTACGCTCTCTTTTCAGATTGCACTTATTGGCTCGTATGATCATCAATAATTAATAGGAAATTCTACTGCATTTTCATAGGACTCGCATTGACGATACTATAAGTTTTTCACCGATTTTTTGCATAGAAAAGTTTAATAAAAGATATTGTAATTAATAAGATATATTAATATATTTTCTATTCAATATTCCCATACAAAGAAGTGCTGAATTTTCCGATTACAATCGACGAAAAACTATCAATAGAAGTCCTATAGGTATTTAATATCATTTTAATTAACCACATGACTAGCACATGGATAGCTTATCGATTATAGTGCAATCGCCATAATATTAATTAGGATATAATGAATATTAATTCGTCGCTGTCTTCCCAAGTGTATTTAAGATGTGAATTGCATCCTGGAAAATGAATAATGATCATTAGAATAAACCTGAACCGACGTCCAGTGGTCGCGGTCGTTAAATCGCATGGTTCGGCTTGACTAAGCGGTCAGGATTCGAATCCCACCTCGGGGAGAATTTTTAACTTCTCTTTGCAGGAGTTAGAGGTTCGACTAGATGGCTGGGCTTCGCATCTCGGCTGGGAAAGGCCTTTAACTTCTGGCAAGGGGTTAAGGGCTCACCTGGGCCGCTTCTACTTGTCAGGGCTTGGTTTACCTCGACCCTGGGCTAGCGGGAGGTTGCTAATTCGCGATCGCAACTTACATGTGGGAGCCATCAAGTGGTCTTTCCACTAACTACTCTTGGCGGACAACCAATGAGATTACTGGATTCTCTCTGATCTCATTGGTTGAGCTCCATCATTGGCTCCCTCTGAGGGATCTTATTGATTGCCGCCCAAGAGTAGTTAGTTTAGAGACCACTTCGTGGCTCCCCCATCTACGTTGCGATCGCGAATAGAGGAACCGACTGGACAGACGCAGGTTTTTCCTGATTTCCTGCGTCTTCTTCATTCCTAAGGGGGTAAATGTAGTGCAGTGCATACAGTCGACCACAGCCGCACGGTTAGGTAGGGCGCAGATGGCTGAATAAACCCATAAGGGGTTTCCAGCCTAAAAATTACTAAAAATGATTAAATAATTCTACATTATTTCCTATGATTAACGAACTGCATCACTTTGAAATTACATATTGCAATAAGATATCATAAGAGGGGAATTAAAAAATAATGACTGCTCCGATGTAACGGAATCCATATTTACTGGGAAGAAAATATCCTTATGACTCAAAATTCGCATGTTATACATAGAAATAGTAGATTAACTTTTATATGTTTTTATATGAATTTTCCTTCGTTTGGAGCATTTGAATCTTGCCATGTGCTATAAGATAAACTACATTTTGTATTTGTATTTTTTATTGTCAAATAAAATACCCGACTAAAGTGCAGAGTGAAATTGTTTGTTTATTTATACAAGGTGCGACTTCATGGTGATTATTGAAAAGAAAATGCTTTCAATGGTTGATTGCACAAGTTTGTCGAATATGTTGAAGGCATCTATGAGCCTCAACCTTTCCTGCAGACAAACGATCGTGTCATGTTTTTTAGGAAAAAACCTACAAAACCTACAAAACTTGACACTCTCGTTTGTTTGCAACGAAGCTATCGGGAAATACCCGATCATTTTGAAGCTCTCGCAAAATTACTACTGATAGTATTACAGCATAACTTCGGAAGGAATATTTGAAATAGGTAAAGTAGTACAAGGACAGTCCGAATAATAGTTTTGCTTTTTTTTAGCTCTCTATGACCAATCCAAAAATCAATACTCAACAAAACTATCTGGCGACGGTGGCCGAAGCGGTTGAATCGTTCGGCCGGGCGGCGGGACCCGTGAAGCGCGGGTTCGAGTCCGGCTGGGGCGATTGCGATTTTTAATCTTTCGGAAACCGTCGAACGGAAGTCTAGACACCGAGAATCATCGGAGAAGTGTTAGGAAAACATTCTCCGATGAAGCTCGGTCGATGGGCGCTCATGAACTGATAGAACGGATTTGTTATTGTTAACGAATGGATTTTGGTTGGAGGTTAGGGTCCATTCGGTCCCACCAAATGTTCATTCGTTAATAGTTAACGAATGTATATTTGAGGAGCCTTGTTTGACGTGGCTTTCGCCATTCAAGTGAACCATTCGTTAACTATTAACGAATATTCATTTGGTCATATTCAACTCTACCATTCGTTAATAGTTAACGAATCTCGTTTGGAATAAATGAATCATTCTATCAGTGTGTCGACCAAGGTTTTCCATGGTTTTCCCTTTGTCACCAGGAGAGTCTGTACGTGGGGTACAGCTCCTGGGGTACAATGCGACACGGTTGGAAAGGAAGTCGGCCCATGAAACCGCAAAAAACATGTAAAAACCCAAATAGGGTATATATGGCAATAATTAAAATAAATAAATACTAAACAAAACTTATTAATTGTTATAATTTTGATTGACCTCTACCCCGTCAGTAGGCGCGCTTGCACCAGCATTCTTGAGGCGCGTGATGAGAGAATCTCTCATCAGCTTCTCATAGGGTGGAGCCAAATATCACCATAAGCAGCGCTGTTCGAGATTCAGCGGCACAAGTACCCGTACTCGTAGCACGTGGAAAATTTCGGCCGAGCCGAAGAAAATATTTTTTTTCTACTCAACTCTGACCGATAGACGACTTTCATCATCAACAGAGTATACTGAAAAAGTTACTTGAGGCATTGAAAAAATTTCAGCAAAATATTTGCACTTTTACGGTATATTTCCTATGAAGTGAAAATTATTGTGAGAGAAAGTCTCATAGCGGGAGAGGCCTCCATGAAATTTCAAAGTCTTCGTTGAAGTAGGAGACGTACTGAGTAGAGCAATTTTTCATATATGAATGATGACTACAATCGATTCTGCCCCGGACATCAACGAAAAAAGACAAGAACAAGGAACAAAGTTTCATTCAGGGATTATCTTAGTAGCTTTTATAGTTTGGTACCACACTAGAAATTCAAACATTTTCAATCATCAAATTGATCAATTAATGTGCGTGAGAAAAATTTGAAAAAAAATCATGAATATTCAGTGTCATTCAAATTACATTTTGCATAAAATAATCATTTTTTGAAACATGCGTTGTTCATAAATCAATAATTGAAATTGTTTAAACTTTCGGAAACCTTATTTGTTGAGGCATGACAATTCCGAACAAATGGTTTTGAACAAACTTTTCAATTGTTTTTTTCAGATTTCTGATCGTTATATAGAGATTAGTGTTTTCAACATTTTACAATCGGACATACTTCTCCAGAACCAGGTATATTTAAAGACTTTATTCGGTGGTAGAAAAATAAAAAAAGGCTTGAAATTTGTGGGAAAAAAAAGAAAAATTATTCAATAAATATTTCGAACACAAAAATGGCCGACCAGACCAATAGATTGAAAATTCGTAATTGAAATATAGTTTTGCGTCCGAATGGAAGCCTCGTATTTGGCGGATTTTCCGATTCGCTAATTTTGATCGGAAATGATGTAGAATGTCATGAAACGTAGAGAAATGATGTTTTTACGTCATGTCTGTATGTATGTGTGTGACAACTTGGATTTTGGGTGAACAATTTTTCGACAATTCAACATAATCACGGTGAAACCGGTAGATAGAAATCTGAAATTTTGGCTCCTGATAGCTATGAATGAACTCTATTTTGGCGCACTGATTCAGCCCAATCGGCCCAGTAGTTCCTGAGATATATCTGTAGTGAAGTGGTAAAAGGAGGTAAGTGCATAAAATCAAATTTTACAGGAGAGCAAAAAAACAGCTATGTCATCGATAGTGGGAAATTTAGTACAAATGACGCCGAATGTTTATTCTACTGTCCTTTAACTTTTTACCCTATTATTATCAAATTGCGGAATTAATCCTTTGCGCAGTTTTAAGTAGTTACCTCCAAATTTTAATTCTGTGTGGAGAGTCAAGGTGACTTAACTCGTTGGGTTATCACAAAAAAAAAAATATGTTGACTTAGCACATGAAATATGTAAATTTCACTAGGGGTAGGGTCAAAAGTTACGAGGGTCCCTAAGAGGAGGGTCAAGTGTTACGAGGGTCACGAGGGTCATTAGGGGGAGGGTCAAACGTCACAAAGGTCGCTAGAGGCAGGGTCAAATAAGAGTCAGGAGTTGAGCCTTATCCTCTTTCCTTCAAGAGGAAATCCATAGTAGCTTTTTCTACGTTTGGGGTACTTGAAAAACTATTTTCCTTCATTTTTCCAGTTTGTCGGTGGCTCCATATGAAGATATTATTTTTACATTCTATAAGAATATTAAAATCGGATTGGTTGAACTTGAATTATTGAAAAAAGAAAAAAAAGAAAAATGAAAGAAAAAACATCTTTAAATTGGGTCACCAAAAAAATCTGGAAAAATAGAGAAAAATAGTTTTTCAAGTTTCCCAAACAGAAAAAGCCACTATGGATTTCCTCATGAAGGAAAGAAGGTAAAGGTCAACTCCAGACCCTAATTTGACCCTCCCCCTAGTGATCCTCGTGACGTTTGACCCTCCCCCTCATGACCCTCATGACGTTTGACTCTCCCCCTAGTGACCCTCGTGACGTTTGACCCTCCCCCTAGTGACCCTCGTGATGTTTGACTCTCCCTCTAATGACCCTCCCTCTAGTGACCCTCGTGACGTTTGACGTTCCCTCTAATCACCCTCGTGACGTTTGACCCTCCCCCTAGTGACCCTCGCGAGATTTATTTTTTAGATGGGCCATTTTGCTTCCTTTGTCATTTGTGTCCCCCTGGCCCGTTTTGTCCCCATCCTGTTTTTCAAAATAACACTTGGAATAAGGAATTGAATCTCTATCAATACATATGGAGATAAGTGAAGTTACCTCCTCTAGGTCCTCCCAATTATGGGAGTTAAGTCAACTTACCTCCAATTGCATTGATCGAAAATTGAAACTCGCACATATCTCTTTTTTTATTTTTTATATAACCACATAAAATATTATTTTTAGACCAAACCCTTCCGTCAGTACTTGCAGATCAATATTACAATGTGATTAGTGCAATAAAACAAATTTCGAAAAAAATGCAGTTACCTCGTTTTACCACTTCACTACAGAAATCTAAGAATTGTGTTTTCTTCCACAATTATTAATTTCTATCTATGAAATTACTTTATCGCCCCGATTATCGCATTGTTGAGTCAATGAAGTAGTTTAATGGATCAAAAATAATAATTGCAGGGGAAAACACAATTCTAAAGATTCCTATAAACGCAGGGGTTCCGTTTCTCCTTAAGGGGGGACCGCAGCAAAATCTAAAATTCTTGGGGATGCTACAACTCGGGGTTATAAATCGTTGCAGATAGTCCTCGGGAACAGGCTAAAATGGTTTGAAAGAGGTCCAGCATCTTATGCTGATTGTTCGCCGTCATTCTCGCCATTTTCAAACTCGTCTCTCAAGGTACGAAATGGTTCGAAAATATTGACTATCAGAAAGGTTCAGGTTCACCCTCTCCTCTCTTTATGTATTAAATCACGGTAGGTATAAAAGTTCTACCGACGACTAGACCTACTAACCCCTTCTGTTCCAAAAATCTTTAACTGTGCCGAGAGACTTTACCTGACAACGTATCAAACAGTCGTGCAGAATTATGTCAATATGGAGTCCACAATCATTAACGCAGTTTTTTACTTTCGGAAAAGAGAAATAATAGAAAAGGATTGAGAAGGAAGTGATACCAAAACTAATGTATTTTATTGCAATCAAATCCATCAATGTTGCTTTAATGAAAGCAATTTACTAGTTTTCCAATTTAGGAACCTATTAAATTTTGCAATATTTTTTTCAGAGCAGCTGGGTTGTCTCGTGGTGCCTGAAAAATGAATTTGCATAAAACAAGTGGTGTATTTGATGTAAAAACTCTAAGTTGATACGGTTACTGATAATTACCCAATGGCCTGCACGGAAGATCCAGTACATACTCAGATTATCGTAATGTTTTTGATATCCTTCAACAATGTCGTCAACTATTAGTCTAGTTCTGTTAGCCTTGGTCCATCCCTCATCCTGCTTGAATACTCTATCCAGCCAAGCAACTACTGATGTGGTTGGAACTGAGAAATCCAGTTGACCACTGTATATGACTACTTTCAGATCGGTCTTTTTCAACAATCGCTCCACTATTAAACACAAAAGGAAACAACAACGATAATTATCTGCCATCTTCTGAAGTCTTCAGAATTAGAATTCCCTTATATTAATCATAATAGCGATTATTTTTTAATAAATAATCGTACATAAATGTAAAAAGTCAAATGTCCCTACGCTCACTCCTGTTATGTCCTATCAATGTTACTAGGGGGACAGTGGCGCCTTTTTGAAATAACGAGCGCCAAACTTCGAAATGTGGATCCGTTAGCCGCTAAACCTCTGATGAGGACTCCATCAATGTTGACTCGTTCATTTTTTGAATAAATGGGTTGAAGGTGTATTCCAGAATAAATCAAAACACTAGTGCTTAGGAGAGCACATTAACACTATTTATTTCAAACTTCTAATTTAAACTTGAAATCTTTGGTAGACAAATACACTTGATAAAACTTTTATGGAAAACTGTAAGAAAAACTAATCGAAGAGAGAAGCTGGAACAGTTGTCGGAACAACAGTCACGATGGGACTGTCTCTAACTTAAACTAAAAATCTAAGAGTTGGGTCCATACACCCCCACTAGACCAAAAGTTGCGCGCGCAATCTTGGCCCGGAGTAAAGGGAAGAGGGGTAACTTAAAAGAGAAATCGGGAAGCGAAAGAGGGAGAAAGGGGAGCGTGTGACGTCAACAGTATTCCCTCTTGAGGGGTCTCAGGCCCTTCAGCTCCGCGATACAATGAACAAAGGAGAACTCAACACTCAACACGTGTGGAACACGTGAATCAGAGAGACTTTCTAAATATCTCAGAACCGAGACTTAACAATTTTACGACCGTAACCNGGAAAGTGGAGCGTGTGACGTCAACAGTATTCCCTCTTGAGGGGTCTCAGGCCTTTCAGCTCCGCGATACAATGAACAAAGAAGAACTCAACACTCAAAACGTGTGGAACACGTGAATCAGAGAGACTTTCTAAATATCTCAGAACCGAGACTTAACAATTTTACGACCGTAACCGTCGAGTTTATTTTCTCTCTATATTTCAGAATTTCAAGAAAAGTATTGTTTTGAGGAATTTTGGAGAGCTGTAAATTTACGAAGTAAACTCAAGTACTTGACATTTATTATTTCCGGCAACGGTTTTTCTCACGCCTGCGAAGTTGTTTTTCGTCCCCTGTTCATTGTCCTTTCATTCTCGACTTTTCTCAGTATTTAAAGATTTTACGTTATTTAATTAATTTTTTATATTAATTTGAATATCGCGGACAAAGATGGCTGATCATTGCTACCAACCATCAAAATCAGCGTCAAGACATCACACTCCCGTGTAGAAATCGCGCCGCTCCGGCCCGGCTCGTCGTGTTAACACTATAGAGCGTGCGACTGCGAGGCATATACGTTAACGGAGTTTCGGCTGAGTCGCCGCTCAAATTTCTACACGGGCTCACACGGAGAGAAAAATTGAATAAATATTACCAGAAAAAAAACGTAAAAATTACGTTTCGAAACGTAATCGGCGAGCGAAGTAAAATCCTATCGTAAAAAGGAGAAAGGAAATCGATCTCGGAAATCTCGAATAAGCGTAAGCGTAAGACTGAAATCGAAGCGCCACTACGTGAGGAAATGAGAGGGCGCGTGCGTAGCGGCTGATCTCCCAACCCAAGTAGCAAACCTTGCGAAAGATATCTGGAAGTATACCAAAAAGGCTGTCTAATGTCTGTCCAAAAAGGTAACTTGTGTCTAGAAGTTACCTAGAAGTTAACTAAAAGTTATCGTATGACTGCAAGATACCTTTTGGACGGACATTAGTCTGCCTTTTTGGTATACTTTCAGATATCTTTCGCCAAGTTTGCTACTTGGGAGTGTGAATCGGAACTGAAATTGTACGAATCGCCACGTAAATTTTACGATTTGTTCCGTAAAAATTAACCACCCGTCTAATGACGGGTTTAATTAACCATTCGGAAGCCCACCATCACAATCATGATTCTGAGTAGGTGAACATCAAAATGGTATATAAAAGGTGTTTTTTTTATAAAAAAAAATTATACATATACGTTTTTGAAGTTGACGAAAATCATAAACAGCGCCTTTGGAATTTTGAGGGAAATGAGGGGAATTGATTCATTGATAGCCTCTACGATTGATCTATTCACTCAAAGATGACATTCTCAAAAATAGATAGATATATTGCGATACTTGTGCCAAATGAATCGAAAGGCATAAAAATCTAAATTCATTTTTCACCAACCTCGCTATTTTCCAATATTGAACACCTGTTATGGAATATTTTAACGGTCAACTACTCAGAATAATAATTTTTGTACGGTATGAAAATAGTTTTTTTTTTTATTCCGGCCCTTTCTGCCCTCTGATTGGCTAATCGGCCCTATCCAACCCTATGCATGCGGCTGTGGATTCTACACTGCACCGCATTCGCACTCCTATAGAACATAGGAGTAGCATGGAAAACCACGGAAAACCCATGCCGGTACAGGCGGTCACTATATTAGCGACCTCCCGCTCGCCGGGGAGCCTCCGGTTGAAAAACTCGGTTCCACGGGGAATCGAACTCACAATCTTTCGCACACTAGGTTCGCACCTAGCCGCTTCGGCCACCGACGTCGGTATGAAAATAGTTTTTAAAAACGAGTAAACCAAAAAAAATTGTTTTCTATGATCTACTTGAGATAATCGAAAAACAAACATAATTTTGTTCTATTGAATCTAAGGAAAATTTTTAAAAAAAGTTTGAATCGGGTGAAAATTGTGGTGTGAAGAGTCCTATCGTAAAAAGGAGATAGGGAATCGATCTCGAAATATCTCGAAAATCTCGAATAAGCGTAAACGTAAGACTGAAACCGAAGCGCCACTACGTGAGGAGGTAAGAAGGCGCGTGCGCAGCACGCACGGCCGGTCTCGTATTTTAAAACGTAAAACACGAAAATAGTATATTTCAGTACATGTGGGGCAATATCGTCTTTAACGTGTGTGGGGTTTACAGCATGAGCCGAAGGCGAGTGATGTAACCACACACGTTAAGGACGAAATTTCCCAACAAGTACTGAACAAAATTTTATGTCACGAAGCCTGAAACCGGCTGAATTAGACACGAGACGCGAAGCGTCGAGTGTGTAATCCAGCCGCTTTCAGGCATGAGTGGCATAAACGATATTTTCGACTGACGTACGGGGTAACATGCATTGGGTACGAAATGTTTTTTCGTTTTTCGGTACCCCATGATATATCAAAAGTCGGTGGATAGTTATTTTCATCAACCGAAGAGTTTCAAATTTCACTCAGATACCCTCTAACTTGCGTCACATCCACAATAATATTGAAATGTATTGACTCTTACCAGAATTGACTGCAGGTCGCATATATGCTCCTAGCAAAGCGTCAAAAACATGATCTGCTTGCGTGCCGAAGTCGGTGGCGATATTGAGCACCGATTTAACATTTTTGTTCATGAACTCAGTGTTTTCCGTAACTACCTTATTGTATGACCAGTCAGGCTTACGTTTCAGAAGGACATTAGTGTAATCGAAGGGCTCGGTATAATCCCACAATTTGGTTAAGACATCACCGCACTTATCCACTGCTTCTATCCATTTTTCCTGCTCTACCGGAGCCTTAACCTTGTCGACTACCTCTTGAACGGCATCTCTCTGCTTAGCGTCTATGAAACCCTGTTAACAAACGACAAGAGCGCATTACGCTCTGTGACAATATTATCTTAAGGTGAAACGAAACCTCTGTGTCTATATGAACGTTTAGAATTGTGTTTTTTACTGCAATTATTATTTTTTATTTATGAAACTACTTCATTGACTCAACAATTCAATGATTGAGTCCATAAAGTAGTTTCATAGATAAATAGTACATTACATGCCCGAGCCTTGGAAAGCAGATCCGAGCCAAAGGCGAGGATGGCAAGCACGTGGGGGAAGGTGATATGTTTTCCATGGCGAGGTGTTTATATTGATTTTCAGGTCCCTCGACACGAAAATTACTATACACACCTCGACACGGAAAACATATCAGCATCCCCCACATGCAAGATTGCCTTCCGAGCCGAAGGCGAGGATATGTTGCGAGGAAGGCTGTTTTCCAAGGCTCGGGCATGTAATGAACTATTTCAGGTCCCGTGGCACGAAAAATTAATAATTGAAGGGTACAATAACAATTACGAATTCGGTTTTCAAATTTCGACTCCTATACAACTAATTTCGTTTTGTTTAATAAAAAAATTTGAACAATTAATATATTCTTGATTTTTTCAGAAATATTTTTCGGGCTATTCTATGAATGCTGCAATTTTTTGGGTAAAAAAAGCGAAATTAGCTGTGTAGGATGTGACTTTTAAAAAATTAATTCATAATTGTAATTGTACATATTTTTTAAAAAATTTTGAAAAAAAACTTTGGTAGCTCAATAATTGGACGGTTTAGACTATTTATAACATTTTAGGCGTCTGCAGGGCAAACGAACAATAAACAAGTAATTTTTTTGCACTAATTATTCATTTTAAGACACATATGATCAATTTTCAATGCATGAGAAATCTCATTCCAATAGGCGGCGCCTTTTAAAACATAGCAGTCTCCGACCCTGGTCAAATGATATTTTTTAACAGTAATGTTACGTTCGGCGAGTGGCGGAACTGCCTTTTTCGTTTACAAGTGAACGAAAAGACGCTTTTCAGGACGAGGTGAACATAGTAATAGTGTCAAAATTATACTTATGTGTTGAACTATATTGTTTTATATGTTATATCTATCATACTAGGATTTCTGTTAACTTTAAGAATCCACCAAAGTGGCTCCCAGATGCTGTAACAAGCATATGGGTTATTCAATAAACGTTTATTCTATTTTATTCACATAAAATTAGTTCTGTGCAACTCATCTCGTTTTGGTCATTTACCACTGAAGTTTCAAGTGAGATTTATGTCATTACCAGATGAAAGGCAAAGGATGGGACGGCTTGTAAAATGTCTAATGATGATATGGCAGGACCACCAAGGCCGACGCCTTTCACATTGTGCTCAAAGTTTTGAAATCCCCGATTCTGAAATCATGATAAATTATTAAAATCATCAAGGGAATGTTAGATATCAAAAAACCACGAAATTTACCAATTCCCAGGCAACATTAACGGCTACTTTTGCTCCGTAGGACTGGCCTACAATATATGTTGGAACTGTTTGATACTTCGGGAATAACTTCAAGAAGAATTTGATGACACTAACAACATCTTCAGTGATTGCACTATCCTCAGTATTGAACCCTTGACTAGAATCAACATGACTGAATCCTGCACCAACTGGTGCGTCGATGAACAGCACATTGTAGTCATTGACCCATGTGGTGTTTCGGGGATTCCCATTCATATCAATTGGACCAATTTCAACGAAATTTCCGATCCCTGAAGCTCCATAACCAGGGCCTCCGTGCAGCCATATTATTAAGGGTCTGCTGTAGACATCGAAATTCACTGGTTTTGATGGGGGGTTAACGAAGTACAACCACCAGAAAGCATGAGCGCCCGGACGAATTTCTATTGATCCCCATTCCTGCTCAGTTCCACCGTAACCAAGTTTCGCCTGCCCTTGGTCCAATGCTGAGAATAATAAATTAAGGATAATCAGGCAAGGAGTAGGATATTCAAAAAATGCAGCCAATTTTATGAAGATTTTTTCACATATTATTAGATCCATTTAGACACCGTTTGCAAAATTTGAGAAACCCCAGAAGCAGGGCAACAACAAAATGATTTTTAAAATTACTGCTTATATACATGAGCTTAAAGCAACCATCAAAAACTCTTGCAACCATCAATAACCCCACATTATCGACCAGTCGGCAATGTGGAAACAATACTGAAATTATCGAGGACCCATTTAACCTTATGTATAAGCAGCAACTTTAAAAATCATTTTTGTTGTTTTCCTACTTCTGGGGTTTCTCAAATTTTGCAGACAGTGTCTAAATCGATTCAATAATGTGTGAAAAATCATCATAAAATTGGCTGCATTTTTTGAATCCCCTACGCCTCGCCCGATTATCCTTAAGGGGAGACCGCGGTGAAATTTGAAAGCCTCAGCTCGGCCTTCAGAGCCATTGGATGACTTTTGATATATGAAGGGATATATAAAAAAGTGAGAAAAATTTCGGACCCGAACCGTTTTGCCCCGTATATCCACCAAAAATGCCATTTTTCACGTTTTAGCTTAAAAATGCTCCTTGAACCACAGTTTTCATCCGATTTCAACTTTTTTATTTTTAATGTTCGCTATACTCCAACGAATAAACCCAAGTATCCGTTGCTTTATATTTATTAGATCATGAGAAAATGTTTTTCTTTAGTTTTCATTTTTTTCCTCTTTTTAGCAAATGCTAAAATTCGTTGTTTTCTGCCCATTTTTTTTGTTATAATATTTCGATTGCGTATGATTACAACATGGAATAACGAAAAACAGCTAATTTTAGCATTTGCTAAAAAGAGGAAAAAAAATAGGAAATAAAAAAATCATTTTCTCATGATCTGATAAATATAAAGCAAAGCGGATACTTGGGTTTGTTCGTTCAAGTATAGCGAACATTAAAAAAAAAAGTTCAAATCGGATGAAAACTGTGGTACAAGGGGCATTTCTAAGCTAAAAACCTGAAAAACGACGTTTTTGGTGGATATACGGGGCAAAACAGTTTGAGTCCGAAATTTTTCTCACTTTTTTATATATCCCTTCATATATCAAAAGTCGTCCAATGGCTCTTAAGGCCGAGCCGAGACTTTCAAATTTCACCGCGGTGTCCCCTGAAGGGGAGACGGAACCCCTTTGTCTACATCAAATCTTAGAATTGTGTTTTCTCCTACAATTATTAATTTCTATCTATGAAATTACTTTATCGACTCGATTATGGCATTTTTGAGTCAATAAAGTAGTTTAGTGAATAAAAAATAATACACTCTAAAAAAAAGTTACTACTCACTAGTACTGAATTCTACTTGGGAGAAGTTTTCTTGTGAAAAGTTGGGAAACTACTTGTCCCAAGTACTTTTCATGTCCTAGGGTGAAGTACAATATTTGCTAAGCAAGTAGGAAAAGTACTAGGAGGAAGTACTTTTATTACTTCCTGTCAGTATTTTTCTTACTTCTCACAAGTACCTTTGATGCTTGGAGCAAGTAATTTTTCTACTTCTCGCGAGTACTTTTATGACTTGATTCCAGTACTTTTGGTTGGTTATTTTGTTGAGGAATTTCATATCATTAATTATCATTCTCATTATCATTATCATTCTCAGATGACAATTAACAAATTTCATCAAGGGGAGGTTACGATGAGTTTCAAAATCGCGAGATATTGCAGTAAGATTTATTACACATTGATNAGATGCGCTACGGAGTTTTTCAAGTTATGCAATTAAGCAATGGCTTTCGTCAGGGTCTCCATACACGTATTCCCATCAGATGGTATCTATCAACCATGTAGAACCATCAAATATGGCGAAATTTTTTGAAAATCTCAAATTACGAGTTGTCAGATCGATCCCAAATTTTCACACAATATTCCAAACACTAAATATTTTGAATGCACGGAGAGAAATATTCATTAAAAATTACGTATCTTTTCCGTAATTCCGGAGTGAAATATGGTTGTGGGAAATTTTACGGAACCGTCGAGGTAATTTTTCCAGAGCGTTCCGTAATTTTTATCTGAATCGCCTGTGAAAAATTACGATGCCATCACTTAAATTTTCGGAGATACTTAACCTTTTGTAGCCTCCTTGCATTCATCCTGTAGAATGTGGTTGCCGTTGTATGCCCATCACAGAGACAGGGAATTGCTACGGATCCATTCGGAAGCAATCAATGGAATTGGTAGAAATAAAGAGGAAAAAGGCTAATAACGCAAAAAGCAACGGTCACATGCCTTCTGTCGGATAGGCTGTAACTCCTGCTTGTTTTGTCTTAATTTCCGGTTTTAAATGATTAATTTTTCATTTAAAAACATTAGAGATATTGCTCGTTAATTAATAAATGATTATCACAAGGGTAGTCGAGCGCTGGACCAATCACAGAATAGTTCGAGCCGACCTAACTCAATCTTCACGTGCACCTTATATCCAATGGATGACGGCAACACTCCTCTCTCCATACCGCCGAGCGCTACCCACCATTACTTATGCAACTTTGTGACGTCACGACCGAAATGAAAGGTTTAAAAATGCCTGATTTTCGATCAATTATTTTAAAACTTCTAGACAATATTTCTTCATAATTCCTTCAGTTTATCTATCTATGGGTTATGTAGAATAAGTGAATAAGGAAATTAGGGAGCATTGACACGTATGAAAAAAACGTATAGATATTTTCTATACGGATTGCATATAGAATTTCTATAGGATTTTCCTATATGATATTCGGATATTTCTAAACGGATATTTTTTATACAAATTATTTCTATACGATTTCTATAGGTTTGATCCCATACGACCCACTGCCACATGTATAGAAACATTTCGTATAGAATTACGACATTTCTCTACGTTTTTCTCTGGAGCGTTCAGACATCTTTCGTATGAAAACAAAAAGTTATGTAAAAAATTATATATATAAGTAATTCGTACAGAAAATATTCGCATAGAAATATCCAAATATCATATACAGAAATCCTATAGAATTTCTGTACGCAATGCGGATAGAAAATTTCTATACAATTTTTTCATACGTGGAGCTCTAGGAGAGGGTGTGCCTGTACCGCTCAGCGGGTAATCCTGCCCACCCGATTTTCTCCGCAACCATCAACTTAAAAATTTCTTTCTGTTCCTGATCATGAAGAATTTAATGATAGGATGTGATTGTCGGAAAATTTTCACTTTATTTACCACTTTAAATATGAAAAAACACGAAATTTTGAGGTTTTTGCAGTGCAAAATTTGTGGACTTTTAATTGAGGTTTTTGATAGTTTCAAACGCTGAATTCTCATATTAAACTGTGGTTATTCGATTCGTGGTACTTTCACGCGTAATTTGATACCAAATCGAACTCAAAACTCCACTCATGTCAATAATTATCAACAATTTTGTTGACGCCGAGCGGAGCCGGTAATACCGCTCACAGGATCGGCCACGTAGTTGCTCGAGAGCACGCGAGTACAGGTTAGGTGGCGGCGCGAGCAATACACGCAAAACCCTATGAGCGGCATTGGAATCGTGCCGAGCGGTATTACCCGACGGCGGGTAGCACCGCTCAATAGGCTCTCTCTTTTATTTTCAATCAATTTTGTGGATTCTAAGGAGAATTAGGCGTCTACACTTCAAGAATAACGAGTTCAATAGTTAAGGAAGTCTCACAAATACGTTTTTTATACTCAAGTTAAAATATAAAATATAAAACTGGCATTTCCCCTTAGGTGGGCGGTACAGGCACACCCTCCCCTAGGCAAGCTCCCTATTGTGTAGTCACTTACCGTGGAGTAAGAAGCAGAATGTCAGAATTGAAGTTCGATCCATGGTTCACTGAAAAACACTAGGAAATATTTTTTCTCACATTTTAACTGCTTTAATACCATCTTAAAACGTCAGTCAATATTTGAACATTTGGGTTGTCGCGAATGTTCAGACACAATTATCCCCTGCCACATTGATATTTCAATCATTTCGTCTGAGATGAAAGAGTCCGATACATTTTACACGTGAAATTCAATTAATCGTCGTTTCCTGTGTTTACTCACGTGATATCATTCGTTACGATTTCCTCTATTCGAAATCAATCAAATATTAATGTGTTCGACTGGAAAATAGATACAGATCTTTTGAAAATTAAGGAATTCCGTTGGCAACTGAATAATTCGTATGCGATATGATTAGTTAAATACTGATAAGGGCACATTTCACAAGTATGCGGGTCGAAAATTATATTTTTTTCTGCTGAATGGAAGAAGTAATTCACAGAACCTCTATTCAGCGTATGGGTCAATGACCTATTTGTCAATTGAATAAACGAAAAAATTGAAACGTTCAACGTATCTTGTATAAAAAGCCGAGCAGTCAAAATGCGCGAAAACTTTACATACAAATTACTTTACAAAACTGATTTTGAAGACATCTATCGTAAGAATATTTCGAAGACTCGGGAATTTTAAAATCGAATTTGGTGCATCAATGATAAATTCCACAGATTTTTCAATTGGGTACCGTGCATAAATGAATTCTCGAAAGTTATTTGATTGAAATTCAGTAGAACTTTCTGTTTCGGGAGCAGAAAAACACAAAAAATAGTTTTCATTCCATTTCGGAAAACAGCTGTTATGTCAAAGTTAGGTAAAGAAATTATAAAAATTGAATTTA